GAATTGCGAGCCGAGCCTGAGGAGCCCGATTGCCATCCTGGACTTTTGGCTGCACTCCTGGAGCTAGATGCCGGGGACGAGTCAGTCGCCTGGGAAGCTGTGGCCGATTTTATCGCCCCCCTTGAACACCTACGGTGCACAGTCCGTGCCTGGCGCGCCCACGCCAATGCACAGTCTTTCGCCCCAGAGGTGGCTACCAACCTTCTGCTGCTTCTCGATCCCGATCTATGCTGCGACTCTTTTCCGCAGCCACGCCCCAGGCCAGCTGTTGTGGACTTTTTGGCCCCTTTCCCCCCGCTGCGGGGCTTGGCCTTGCCCGTCGCTCAAACCGGTGCTCCGTCCTTTTGGGACATCGACCCTCCACCTTTGCCTAGCTTCGTGTATCCCTTCGACAGCAGTGCTCCTTTGGCCGCTGCCTCTCGTCACGTTGCTTGGCTGGAGGCGACCACTGATGTCGTCCTCCAAGCGGTACAGATGTCCCTCGAGCACCCTGTTAGCATTCGGGCACCACCTGCTGCGCTCCGTTGTCTCGAGCCATTGTCTTCATGGCTGCGAGACGGGGGCCTTCCTTTTGACGGCTGACGGCCTCGCGTCTTTTTAACGCTGAAGCCTCGCCGCTGTTTGCGTTTCACCCGAATTCAATTTGCTAGAGGTGCGTCGTACTTCGACCCAAACCTGCCGGAAGAAGAAGAATAGTATACCCCAAACCCTAGTCTAATTTCTAAGGCCCCAACCCCCGAACCCCGAAACTCAACGGTCCTAAGCCTAAACCCTGAAAAAGGAGGTGTGGCAAATCCGGATAGAGCCCTGATAGAACCTTCACACAACCCGTATGGAACCGCACAAGCAGCCTTACGGAAGCCTGATAGCAGAACCCTGATAGAATCGCCATGGCTCCCTTGCGGACCCCATAACACCCTTTATTTGACCTCATAGAACACCAATTCAAGGAGGTGTGGCGACCGGCTCAGCCCCAAAGCCTCAAAATCTAGTCAGGCCCGGGAGCTCTAAGAATCCCATTTCCTTAACCCTAGACACCCAAAAACTTCAAAATCTAAGGCCCGAAAAACCCTAAGACTCCCGTTTCAACGACCCTAAACCCTTAAAGGCTTAGCTCCCTAAGCCCTAAACGCTTATAAACCCTAAACGCTTAGATCCCTAAACCCTAAGCCGTTTAGATCCCTAAACCCTAAACCCTTAGATCCCTAAACCCTACACCCTTAGATCCCTAAACCCTAAACCCTGAGTATCCCTGAGCCCTAGATCCCTAAACCCTAAATCTTTTAGATCCCTAAACCCTAAACCCCCACACCCTTAGATCCCTAAACCCAAAACCCTGAACCCTGAATATCCCTAAGCCCTAGATCCCTAAACCCCGAACCCTTAGGTCCCCATTAGATCCCTAAACCCCTAAACCCTTAGATCCCTAAACCCTTGAGTATTCCCATGTCAAAGAGGTGTGGCGACCCAAAGAGTCTCGAGTTCTTTGGGGACCTCTGGAGCTGAAGGAGTCGAGAGCGCCAGGCGTGGAGGGCCCCGAGGAGAAATAGAGGGTTTAGGGTTGGGGTTTAGGGATTAGGGTTTAGTGTTTAGGGCTTTAGGGTTTAGGGCTTTAGGGTTTAGGGCTTTAGGGTTTAGGGTTTAGGGATTAGGGGTCGATTACTATGGCTGCTATTAATTATTACTGAATGATGATGATGATGATTATTATTCCTATTCTTGTTCGTGGTGGTAGTAGTAGTGGTGGTAGTAGTAGTAGTAGTAGTAGAAATAGTAGGAGGAGGAGGAGTAGTAGTAGTCGTAGGGCGTTGTCGCCCGAAGCCTTGTGCACCGAGTCTGCAAACTGGTGTGCTCAACCCTGGGCCCCGAAACCCTAAAGTTTCGAAGTTTTCTTCGACACGAGTTCTTGCACTTTGCAGTTTAGGGTTTAGGGTTAGGGTTTAGAGTTTAGGGTTTAGGGTTTAGGTCACAGGTCCTAGTGTTCTGCTCCTCATATTCCGAGCATTGTGCGATCCAAACCTGACTCCCAGAATTTGGGCTTTGCGGGTTTAGTGTCCAGTTTCCTGAAATTGCAAGCACTAGACAAACTATGATATAGTAGTCCACAATATGCTGAGTTTCAGAAATAAGGGGGCCGAATATGGACCCAACCGGATTCGTGAATCAATCTAACGACCTATAAATTAGGTTCCACTGTTTCTGAAACCTCTATATACCCTAAACCCTAAACTTTTCAGGTCCGAAGCCCCGGACCACAGATTCAGGCAGGGCATTCAGGTTTTGCATCAACTTCTGCGCAGCAGAATCGGCTCAAACACGGCGCTGCTTCAGAAGGGCCACAGGCGGGCAATGCAAGGTCAGTACACGGGGGTCTGAATGTTTGGTGATAGTACTCGTTAGGGTTTCCGATTATGGTTAGACGAAACTGTTATACTATGTTAAACCCAACCTGATTCCAATTGTTAAGGTCCCAGGACTGCGGATGTGATGTGTTGACCTAAAGCTTGCGTCTTGAAAGAGATCGTCAGAGCGCCATTGGCCTGAAAGATACTCTCTAGCCCCAGATCACCAGAGTGTCATAGTTCCACAAATTCCTCTTCACGCTTTGAATCTACTTGAAAAGCTACTTGAAAAGCTCTGAACCCTAGCCTGCCCAACCCTTATCAACCCCGCTCGACAGGCTGGCGGTTATTGGTCAGCAGCATATGCTTACAAAACCCTAAACCCTAAACCCCTGAACCCCCAAAAGCATCAACCCTGGGCCTAGGGTTCAGGGTTTCAAACCCTCTGCCAGCCCTATGAAGAAACCATGGCCTCAGAAACCCCGATCAAAGCCGAAAGTCCAAAGTCCAATCCCCTTAACCCAAACCGGCCCCTATACCCTAAAATGGCAAGACCTGTAAACCCCTTAATCCCCAAACCCCTCCACCCTAAATCCCACACCAGGCCAAAGGCACCGGCTCGGATGGTTAATGCCTCCCCGCGCGATTCGAGGGGCCTGCCGGCGAAACCTCTAACCAAGAGGGTCCATGTGTATTGCATTTTCTGGAACTTGGTCCCCAAAACCATTTTAAGGATTGTCTTTCTTGATTCCAGACTGTAATATGCACGGACCGTCTGGGTAAGCTAAATCCGTGGTTTCAACGTACTAGTATCCCTGTGTACTAGTATCCCTTTACAGTCCCCAGGCAATTGCAGTACATGATTGAATAAACCCCCTAAGCTCCACTTCCCCACATGAACCCTTGTAAAGCCCTGCTAACATGTTTGTCTCAGAATGAAGGACCGTTACAATTGGGGGTCAGGGTGGGCAAGAACCGGGTTTCGGTTTCTGTTTTTTTTTTTTTTGAGGGTTTAGGGTTTCAGGTTTAAGGGTTTAGGGTTTTTTTTGGGGGTTGCGCGGGTGCCTGGCTAGGTTGCAGTTTCAGGGACTAGGGTTTTCGGCCAGTTTGGTGTCTGGATGCTTGTTCTATGGGTTTCAACGATTCAGTAAATATAGGGGGCCTCAATCATTAGCAATATACTATTGTGAGGGTCCCTTGTTATGAACAGTGTAGCATAATAGTATAACGTACCCCAAAACCTTATTCTAAATCTTTAAGGTCCCTACGTTACATGTTTTTTGTTTTTGCCCGACTGAAGAACCCCCCTAAGGCCACGTCGGGGTCCTCGGTCTGATAGCCGATAGAAACCGAAGCCCCTGACACCAACAAGAGCCCAAAACCCTGAACTAAACTAGGGTTTAGGGTTTAGGGTTTATGTAGGGTTTAGGGTTTAAGGTACTTTAAAGCGTACATCGCAAAAAGGTGAAGCTTAGAAGCCGCCTTGCGTGGCTCTGAGGGTTATGGAGTATGAGAAGCTTAGTTTAATCCTCAAACCTTCCCAATCCCATCAATCCTGTGTTGAGCCCAGACCCCGACGCCTGAAATCTCCTAAAGTTCTAAACCTCCCAAACCCAAACCCAGAAGTCCCGCGACGCGAAGCTCTGGGCCGTTATGTCCCGTGAGGTCCCACGCGGGTGATCCTGTCTTATCTTCTGCAACTGATCATCCTGGGTCTGGTCGTGGTAGGCTTTTACAGAGCCTACAGCTCCTGGGCACTGGGTCCCGCCCTACACCCAAAACCCGAAGCCCTGAGCCCTAAACCCGAAACTCTGGTGGATTCTACTGACTTGACGAGGTGGAAAAGGTTTTAAAACAAAGCCCTAAACCCGAAACCCTAAACCCTGAGCCCTGCACCCGAAACCCTAAACCCCAAACCCCCAGTTTCGTGGTCCTGGGCTCGGGGTTCTTGGGAATAGGATTTTGGGCTTGACGGTTCTCTGGCGATCTTAGGGTTTGGCCTCAAAGCCTCGGGTTCTATTCGGGGCTTAGCTTCGAAGTTGTGGGTTGCGGTCAGGTTTTCAGAGAATGAGTCATCTGGTCTTATGCCTTCACGGTGTAGGGGTCAGAGTTCAGGTTTTCGGAGGCTTGAGGCATTTCGTCCCACATCTTCTCCCAAAAGACCTGGGAAGTCCCAAGTAGAGGCCCAAACTCAACCCGGAAACCCAAGAGCCTAGGCGCCTAAATCCGACCCTAGCCCTTCAGCTTATGATTCCGAAGCCCCAAACCCCTTAGGCAAGCCTTGCCACCCGGGCCTCTATAAACCTTGGCATCCCGCACCCCAGACCCGAAAGCCTCAAACACCCCCGAAACTTTGCAAGCCCTACATCAAAGCCTCCTTAGCCCTCAACCCGAAGCCCTAAACCCGAAGCCCTAAACCCCGAGCCAGCTTTTTCCGGCTCCATCTCAGATTACTCTGGGCTGGGCAACCAGCTGAAGGATGTCGCGGCCCGGCAACACCCGGACAGATTCCTTTGATTGGTTTCTTTCCGAGGATTTGTATGAGCTACATAGAGGCAACTTCTTTTTTTAAAAAGAAACTTAGATCTAGGGCTTAAACAGCACCGGCATTCTGAGGGATGGTGGAGGTTTCCTGGAGAGGGCAGGAAATCTACATCGGGATAGAGTTCGGAATTCTATGAGGGTCCTTCGGAAGGACCAACATCCCTTTTGGGCAACGCTTGGGTTTGATGAGTACTGCAATATTGACGGTAGTGCACATAAACTACGTGGATCTTACCGGGGTGTAATAAGCGTCCTTGTTAGGAGGATTCCAGAAGCCAGACTCAAGAGATCCTCATCCTTGCTCAGTCTGGGGGTGCCACCCCTTTACCCTCTGACAGTCTAACTTCCCCAGCTCCCAAAAGTGGCAAATCTCTACCCAAGAGTTTCGGGGGCTGTTCTACAGTTAGAGGTGCTGAGAGGGGTGCTTACTGGGGATATGCGAGAACCGGGGCGCCGCATGCAATATGGCAAGACAGTCAAGAAATTGAAGTTTGGGAGCCTTACATTTGTCCAAGATTTCAGCGAGCTGCGAGGTTTAGGGTGGCTCTCTGGGGGCTCGGCGAGTGTGTGCGTTGGTGAGTATTGGTTTGGCCTTCCTGTTGGGAGGGTACAAGTAGTCAAAGGCCCACGCCATGTCTCGCCAAAGAGAGCACAAAACCCCGTAATTTCTTCAATCAGAACAAGTAGGACTATCAA